TTTTTTATTAATATATTACACTGTATAAAATATTGGACGTTTTCGAGGATATTTTAAGCCATTTGTCAACATAGTTCACAAAAAGATTTATACAGTATTAAAAACAATCCTTCTGTGACTTCTGTAATATTTTAAACAGTGAAAACATAGCAGGCAATAATATTGCCAATTAACCATATCAAAGGAACCTATTGGACAGTTCTCAGGAGATATTGAATTAAATCCTGGTCCTGTATTTCCAGGGACGCCGGAACGATAATAGGGCAAAGGGGGGCGGACGCACACCAAGGGCATTTTTACTGAAATTTTTTTTTTCCCTGCAAAATTTTTTGGCGACCTCCCCCCCCGTCGCCAAAACATTTCGGTCAGGTACCATTTTAGGGGTCAAAAAATGTTTCTGGACATACAAAAATTTTCCGTGAAGCCAAAAATTTTTCCGGATATCTTAAATTTTCGCCATTTCTTCAAAACATTTTTCTAAATTCCAAATTTTTATAAATATAAACTATAAATTACCTGAATCTCGTGATTTTCCTACAAAAAGCATCGTTGGAAATGTGCATATCAAACTTTCCCCCTATATGAATGAACATTTGCTCAAACTAGTGTCCTGTGAAATTACAGACGGCCCAGTGTTGAAGCCCATTATATTAAAGATTAGATGTGCCAAACTGGTTTTGTAATACCTTTATTAAATTAAATAAAGTTTATTATTGTTACTATTATTAGTATTATATGACGGAGAGAGTGAGACCTAAGCGCGCACGCTTCGAACACTGAACCTGTTTGACTTATAAATCGAACACGATGTATCGAGTAAATCTGCTGAAAAACCTAGAAACGACAACGCATTTTATGAATAGGATTGACAACAATAATGGCCAAGCACGAATCATAACTTTGATCCTCTTGTCGTTTGTATTCTGATGCCATAGTGTAGATCAAGTAACTATACGGTATTAATCAGATAATGTATATTACTAAGCAGCATTTCCCAAGCGTAAATTTCAGTTATAATGAGGCAGTATAACTAATTTTATTAAAAGTAAAATCATTACAATTGTTCAACACTTATCTGGTGTACAATATAAGACATATAAGGTATATAAGGTAGAGTCGAGATCGAGTCTGAGACGTCCCTTCGCCATCTCTTGCAGCCGAGCGAGTGAATTACTAATGAGCTTGTAAACACAAGCAAAACCCACATCTTTGCGCTCATTTTGACATTCCCAAATCGCCATAAATAAGCATGAATTTGCTATCAAAATGCGCCAAATTTCACGAAGACCTCAAATCAGGCGGTAACTGGAGTCAAAGACCTGCGCAGAAGGTCCTAGTGCCAGTTTTCTTCAACAGACACCACGCGCGAGGCGAATTTCCTATACAAATTCTAACAAACAGCCCACAATCAAACGAAAAGTGACATTCGAATTAAGGATTATTTCCCCATAAAAGTACATTCAAAAGGCGTCTAAAGACTTATTCTTTCCTATACCGAGGGTAACTGAACACCAATATAATCGTAGAGCAAACGTAAGCGAAAAAACATCAAATTTTGGGGTGATTCGTATAGGGAAAAGTTTGAAATATGATACGCGCAATACGATATGACTTTTTGTTAACGCAAAGTTTGATATTTTTACTCTGTCTATTCGTGTTCAACCGTGCATTCTATTATCTGACGGTGCACGAAGTGTTCTCTAAATGGGATCACCCGTTGTCAACCAGTAAGAAAAGCAGTCCGTTGTTCTTCTTTTTGACTAAACTTAGCCTCAGGTCTAAATGCAAAGAGACACTTTGCACTCCAATATTAATTTCTATTGAGCAATCAATCTATATGTTCCAGTGTAAATTAAGGTAAGTCAGTAATACGCTCGTTGAGGACTTACATGGAGTTCGTAAATAGAATTGGTTAAAAGGTGCATACTTCCATGTAAACATTCTTTATTTACTGAGCTTTCGTGCCGTAGACCCAGGACGACTTCAACTGTTGTACTCTCAAGACCGCCCGCGGGTATACGGGAAGAAAGCTCAGTCATTAAAGTATATCTTAAGGCTAGTTTCCACTCAGGAAAATTATCCGTGGATTGGAACGGACAAGAAATTTTTTCTTTGTGTTGAAGTAATTTGTTCCAACCCAGAGCTCACAAGACAAAGAAAAATTTTCTTGTCCGTTCCAATCCACGGATAATTTTCCTGAGTGGAAACTAGCCTTTACGTGGAAGTGTCCAGAATAATTATAACCAATTCTGTAGTACGTCTGGTATGTCGAATCGATTGTTGTTAGGCCAGTTGCAAACGTCGAATATTTCATGTCTCGAATTAATAATATACCAATGAAGGTTGACCCTAATTATTATTGTGTTCAACATTTTGATTTAATCAATTTATAGTCGAATAAAATGTCACCAAAATGTGTTAAAAATGACATACCAGTCAGAAGATGACGACGTCAAAGAAATCACTCATGAATGGACCATTTGCAATATAGACTAAATTTTGATCTCAACAAGTCTAGACAAAAATTTCATCACAGCTTGAAAGAGCATCACAAAATTAGTAATATTCCAAAGTTTCGTTGTGAAATGTTGTAAAATGCAGATAATATAGCCTTGCGAAGTTTGCCGTTTTTCAGTCATTTTCTATTACAAACGGGAAATTGACAGCCCCAAATTGTATTGGACTGTCAATTTCCCCCGCGTAATGCAAAATGACTGAAAAACGGCAAACTTCGCAAGGCTATATTATCCGCATTTTACAACATTTCGCAACGAAACTTTGGAATGTTACTAATTTTGTGATGCCCTTTCCAAGCTGTGATGAACTTTTTGTCTAGACTTGTTTAGATCAACATTTAGTCTATAATGCAAATGGTCTATTGAAATCACTTATACGTTATATATTCGGCGCATCAAAGAGTTGACGTTTGAATCAACGTCCCTCCAGAGTTGTTTTATTCGACGACTTCACCGGTCAAATAAAAAGGCATGTCGCATCTTATAATAATCAAAACTGTTGAATTTAATTGCTTGAAATGTCAAACTTATTGTGCACTTAATTGATAAATTAATTGTATTCGACACATGAAATTATAAATATTCGACGTTTGAACTGGGCCTTTACATGAGCCCGGCTAGCCGGGCTGGTCCGGTTAACCGAGGCGCCCGGCTTAATACAAATCCCTTAACAAAACAATTTTAGTTTACATGTAAACCGACCAGCCCGCCTAGCCGAGATCTCACTTGAATCGAACGGGACGCCCGGCTAACCGGGATGAAATTTTCCCATGGAAAGTCACCAGCCCGGGTAACTGGGCTAGCGTTATAGACAAATAGTTATTTCTTAACTTGTTCTTGTCGATTTATAGATAGTTTTAAATTGAAAATTAGCTCTATAAAATGTGCATTTGACTTACGTGACAAACCTTACAGTATTAACAAGTAAACAACTTTCCCCGCCATATCTGACTTGGTAAAGTTTCAGCACGGTTAACCGGGCCAGCCCGGCTAGTCCGCGGGCTCATGTAAACAGCCCCTTTAGATTAATTGTAATGTTAATTGCGAATAAACTAATAATAATAATAATAATTATAACACTTTTTTTCTTGAGGATAAACAGATAAAGTTACAACTTTTTTCCAATCTGGTCCTCCTAAACTTCTATAGACACAACAACAATAACATTAAACATGACTATTTTCCGTACTTCCTGGGAGTATGAACAAATGAAATCATGGGTATAATGTAAAGTATTAACCAGCACTACAATTCAGTTGTTTATACTTCGAGAAAGCCCCAATTTTCTAATTAGGCAATTTTCTAACTATGTCTAAACTAGAAATAGTTTACACTAAAACTTCCCCCGGCTAATTATGATGTACTATCTAGCTGTTATTAAAAATGATCATGTCTTATCAGCTTACAAATATTAATACGACAAAAATATTATTACTACTTTCTGGCTTTCTTTTAAAACGCTTTGAATTTTGATAAAATTGGGCGAACTTTAAAAATGAAACAGTAACCACGTGTAACTTGGTCCTTGTGCGTCCATGCGGCTGAAGGAATGGCGCTTTTCAATACAAACGTTTTATAATGCGACCGTTGTGTGTTAAGCTTTGCTCGATTTTTTATATTTGTATTTGTTTTTGACTGACTGATGTATGAACCGAGTATTTTGGTTCCTGTTTCGATTAATGTGACAAATCTTATAGTTGATACTTGATAGACACGGAGATTTTAATCTTGTGTTACTGTACGTTAACCTTTTCATAATATTTAACGGATTGACTCCGTCACCAACAACAGATGATAGTAACAACATACATGTACCTCACGCAAGTCTATTAATAGACACGTAAAACAGACCAGAGAAATAAAATGCCGTTTGCCAAGGTGTTGACCCAAGCGAATAATAATTCTTACAGAAAGCAACCTTTGAACCCTCACCTTTTAAACTTTCGCAGCTACGCTACGCCAATAATTCACTTGCCTTTTATTATAAAATTTGAACCCTCAGCTTCTAAACTACTGTCACTTGTGGCCTTTTACTGTAATATACGAACTCAGTTGCTTCTAATCTTGATAGCTTTAACAATTTATGCTTGGCGGGGACTTCAATACCCCCTCATTGTTTTTTGCGATATTACCCACCAATGCTTTGCGGGCAAAAAACTTAAAAACTTAAATTTCTCTGCCTCTGGTATATAGGTGATCGCTAGATAGTATACTTCAAAATAAGGTTTCCGTTTTTATAACGTAGAAAAAACTATCCTAACGCAAAACTAAACCCTAACCCTAATACTAACCCTAACCCTAACCTAACCCTAACCTAAACCCTAACCTAACCCTAACTTATTTTAATTATTTTAAAAAGTATACTATCTAGCAATTGCCCTGGTATATACCGTTGATATCATATTACGTGCGGCCCTCTGGGGCCAAAACCCTGCCGCCGGGGCAATTATATTTACAGAATAATATGTCGAAATACGTTGACATACAACTAACAAGTGTCTAAAGTGACATTATAAACATGACAGTGTTAAAACATGACAGTATTTTTACATGACAGTATTATTATTTGTTTGAACTGTAGTTCAAACACTCTTAATAATTCATAAGCTTATTGGCAAATCATGTGAACCATAATATGTCACGTGCAGTGGCTTTAAACCTGATAAAACACTGCTAATTAGTATTCTTTATCTAAAGAATACTAATAAGGCAGTATCTATTATAGTCGTGTCCTCATTAATATTCTTTATACTGTATAAAGAATACTAATATGTTTGAAGCCGTTTAATAAACTCGCAAGTCGTGTTTTATTCTCGTGTTTTAAACTTAAAAAACACTCCTGCTCGTTTATTAAACAGTGTACTTAAATAGTTTAAATTATTAAAATTACGATATAAATTATTTTGTTTGTAAATTATTCTTAATTGACGTGTTTTGAACAGCCACCGCTGCTATAAGCCTCCCCGATGACGATTCTAATTCAAACACAGTTCCCCCTATCATTTCTGACAATAATTGAACATTCGTCTGTTAATTGTGTTTCAACAAACTCGTGCACATTAGAGATTGAATTACTCAACGAGAATGAAAGAAACGAAAACGATTATGATATATAGTATGATAAAAAAGCACCTTGGACTGAAAAGTGCGTTTTCTCCTTATAATTTCGGTTTATTTGCAAGATAAAATTGATTCAAACGCGAATCTTCGTGTTCAATCGTGTATGCCATAATCTGACGGTGCACGACTGCAGCAAGTGATCTCTAAATAAGCCGACACCCGCTATTAACCAGTAAAAGAAGCAGTCCCTTGTTTTATTTTTCAACTAAACTAAGCTTCATGCATAAACTCAAAGAGAAGTTTTGCACTGCAATTATATTAACTCAACTGAGCAATCTCCATTCCGTGTTCTATCGTAAATAAACTCATATAAATCGGATATTTCATAATTTTTATGATAAACATGTAAACTATTTGTTTATTAGCATCGCCTGAGTCATGTGTTAGTCGGAATTTTAGCTCAGCTGCCGTTTAGTATACCGCACATTTTCGGTGAAGATTAATGTGTCCAATAGTTGTGATAACTTAACGCTTTAAAATTGCCGGTACCAAAATGAGAACGGAAGTGAAAACATAGGTATTGGTATTGGTATTGGTATTGGAAGTCGAACTTAAACTCTTTAATGCCGTTCCGGGAGAGGGTATTCAATACGCACGCGGGAAAAGGAAACCAGCTGGTGGCGGTTTCAAATGCGAGGTAGTAGGTGTTCATCTCGCTGATCTCAAAAGATGCCGAAACTGTTAGGAGCGGAATGAGCCAACTGCCAAGATTTTGAAAACATGTGGGAAATCGTTTCGTACAATGAGTTGTAATGCGATGTATTAATGAAATGACAGGAAGAGTACTGATACTGTATAATGGGAAATCGTGAAATATAAGACACGTTTTTCTTATTCTTTTATCTGTTATATTCATTTTGAAATCCATGGAGTTCCCTGCAATCTGATTGGCTCTTAGAAGTGCGATTACAGCACGAATTGCATTCTGGGGGGAGAGTGCGAATTAAAAGCATCAGCTTAAATTGGAATCGCATTCTTCCTTCAACCAATCATATTTAAGTGCTGACCTGAGCAAACCAGTCGTATTTAAGAACAGCAGCCAATCGGTTTTAAGAAAAATGTGAAAAGAAATTTGACCAAATCTGATCATCATGAATTTTAAAAGTTGTATTAAACTGCCTAAAATTTTTGAATAAGGCGTAAAAAAAATACCTGTGGTTCCGGTTCCCGACCGACCCTATTTTCTTTGCTGACCCTATTATTTTTTCAACGCGATTGACCATGCAACCCTACTTTCTCCAGGTGGTTGCGGGCTGCTCATACAGCGTGCCAAAATGGTGTCTGTTGTCACACTAATTATTGAACCAAATTGCCTAAATTCGTCCATAGGAACTACGCATCTCTAGTTAATATTGATGTCGGGACTCTACTACAAATCGCCCAGCAAAAAACCGCCAAAACCATGAAAAAAATATTCAAAAAAAAATTTATTTCCGACCTACCGACCCTAATTTTTTCGCGATATGTAATCGGAACCACAGGTATTTTTTACGCCTAAGGCAAAAGGAAATAAATAATAAAACAGCCGAATGTAAAAATATCAAAAGATTTTTGACCTGCGAATCAGGAACAATATTTTCGAAGAAACATCGTCGGCGATTTTTCAATGCTGTCGGCGATTTTTCTCCTCCTGGAGGATGTGATTTAAGATAAATTGTGATCATGATCATAATAATGGTTTATTCAAGCTCTCTCGCAGTTACAAGAACTGAATAATTTATTTATTTTTATAATATTATCTCAAACGTATTGAAGGATCGTAATATATATCCAACATGGTTTCGAGTGCAATTTGGATATAACATGCACGAGTGAGTTTTTCAAAGACCTCAAAATAGCACGGGTCCGAAGGACGAGTGCTATTTGAGGTCTTTGAAAAACTCACACAAATTTCGTGCTGCAGTCGAAGTTATAGTTTCTTTCTCCGTGCTTGGGAAAGACTTGCCAGGTTCGTCTCCTGCCTGGTTAACAGGGGTTAAAAAGGATTTGAATGATGGCATTGCAGAAGTGCGAAAGGGCGTTAGCCAAGAGATTAAACAAGACGCAAAGACAAAACTCTCAATTGAGTTTACAGCCAGCATGCTGGAAACCAAAGAAAATGCAATCATTGAATGGAATAATCTGAAAACAGATGGAGTCATCACAGAGAGCACTGTTGGCAATAGGTTTACAGTAAAAATCAGCGAAACAAAAGTACTTACACTAAAAAATCTATTCAGGCTATTGCAATTTTATCCTGACATATACGAAGGACGAGAAAAGAAGCACACATCATTTGAAGTTCCAATTGGAGGAAAAGTAAGGAAATTTCGTTTGGCTACAAGTAACCCTCGATTTGGCGGCGTGCACCAGATTTCTGTTTACTCCTACGACGACGACTGGCCAGGAACTACAAAAAGGGGGGGAAAGGGGCTTCCGAGTTATGATGTAATGGTAGACAGAGTTCTTCGGCAGTTTCCCAACCACAAAACATTAGCAGAAACAATGGTAACATCAGTTGACAAAACCCTTCGTGAGCAACCGAATTTTGAGAACGTTCTAAAAGTTGGTGGCGTCGGACCAAGCACCGCCGATACGGTTCGCGCTACGGTAGAATTTTTGATTATTTCAATGATAGCGGAGGCTGCACAGCCTGCTGTTCAGTTCAAAACTAATTTTATAAAACAACTTGCAACAAAAATCAAAGCTGGAAAACACTTTCCTAAACCAGAGGATCTTCCAAAGCTTGTTAAGGTTGCAGGTCCATCAGGCCGAACTCCTGCAATGGACGAAATAGTAAGGAATGGACTTGATTGTGTATCAAATGCAAAGAGGAAATTTCACGAGGCGTTTGGTTCATCCGAATTTCCTACACGTGATACCGGTGGGACCAAAAAAGGACGCCAATTGATGCACGAAAAAGGATCTGAAACAGTTACCGCGTTTGCCTCACGCAAACGAGCAGCCCAAAGGCACGACCACAAAGAAATCGAAAAAAAACTAGAGGAACTATCAAGGGGATACTGCGGAGGAACACGACGAATAAAGAGAGCGTCATGCTCATTAGAAGATAAAAATTCAGTAACGGTTGACGAAGATTCCATCAAAATAACAGATCGAAATGTTGAGTTTGATGTAGTAGATCGTCGGAAGGCAAAGGAACGAAAACACATGACGCTATCATTAGAAGATCTTGATCTGGCAACACCAAAGCTTATCCAGGAGCATATTACTAAATCTCGAACCCCAGGAGCAACTAAGGCTTATGCTAAGATAAACAAAGGACTTGCTGTTCATGGTCTAATATTTTCCGTTTTAGGGGCAGCCGATTACTTTTCCAATGGTGACAACATTCGCGGAGGATTTTCGTTGTCTCAGTCTGTGCACACTCTGGGTGGACTAACCAGTTTTAACGAAATTGTGTCGAAGGTTGGCAAACGAATTTTGATTAACGCAGCCAAGGGAGTAGCAAAAGGTTTAAACTTAGAGAAAGGGCTAGAAAGATTCTCTAACAAGGTAGAAAACTTTATGGAGAAAGGAGTGGGGAAAATGCTTGGAGACATTCCTGGGGTAGGACTTGTGTTTGATGTCTACTTCATTGAGCAGGACGTGGAACAGTTGGCTAATTTAGACTTCAATAATCCTGAAGATGTTAAACTGCTTCCGCTCCGAGTGGTTGATTTAGTCCTCGATATTGACACAACAGTACTCAACTTAATCGGAACATTTTGTCCGGCAGCAGAGATCATCACAGAGCCCCTTGTGATTATCCTCTCAATTATTCGAATGGCTATTGACGACTTTTATATTGATATAATGGACGAAATGGAGAAAGTGAATTGGAAAAGTCCCTGGGCCGGCTTGGAGTTTCTAGGAGCGCTAGTTAAAGGATCCATTGAAGGAGCTGCCGATTTCTTTACGGGAGGATTGCGAAGGCAGATGGAGTCTTATCGGAAACAGGAGCAACATGATAAGAAACTAGTTCAGAACCTAACAAAGTTTGAAAGTTACTATAAAATTGTGGGGAAAACGGAAGGCGACCATAAAACAATCGACTTTACCAAAGGCATGCTGTCTAGTTTTGGCGGCTATATCAACTTCAGGCTGTTAGACAACAATCATGCAATGCTAGAAATTGGAGATGTTAGTGGTCCGGTCAATGACAAACATCACACCATACGAAAGACATTTAAGATTGACCCCAATCTTAATGACATTGTGCTTGGTTTAGGAGAATCCAGAACTTTCACGTACAAGCACAAAAAAGCCAAGCTTTGGTTTGTGATTCCGATCAAATCTTATAAAGTTATTTGTGGAGCCAATATGCACGAAAAATCAGTTTATGGAACGTATTATGGCAACTCAAAAAACAATACATTTTATGCCGTACAGAAGCCTAAAGACACAACGACACCAGGCAAGGACGAAAACAAAGCTCACGAGGAATGCAATTTTGGAAATTTAAATGTGAAGTTTGCAACTGGCAATTATCATTACAATCTCTATGGGCGGGGAGGTCGGGACACCTTTTATTTAGGACCCGAAATGTCAACTGTGACAGGAGGAGAAGATACTGACGTGTACATTATCCAATCAGACGGTGGTAAAACCATTATTGACAACTTTGCAGAAGATGCGAAGCGTGACATTGTTGTAATTAACGTTCACTATGACAGTATCGAGTGCCATCAGAGCAGAAAGGACCTTGATGTTATTTACTCTAAGAGCCACCATATTCGTATAAAGAACTGGTTCACTCCCGGAAATGTTAACTACTACAGACATATAACATTTCGTAGTAAAGATGGAGTAATTTTTGTTCCCAAAGAGACGTCGGCAAGTAGCGCCGAAAATGCAGTTCAGTGCTCGGCAGTTGCTCTTGATCTCAGCTCCGCAAAAGCTCCACAGAGGGCATCCCTTACTGATTCGAAATTCATACACGTCAAACAGGTAACTGGTTCCAATGAAATCGACAATATTGTTGGTAATGACGTCAACAACATTCTTGATGGAGGGAGAGGGGCAGACTATCTGACTGGAGGGAAAGACGAAGACACCTACATCATTAGAGCCAAAGAAGGATGCGACACTATTGACAACAATGCTGAAGACTTCTTGAATACCACTGACGTTTTAGTTTTCGAAGTACCGTTTGATGAGATAGAAGTACATACAAGAGGAAATGATCTTTCAGTAACGGACAGAAACAATCCACAGACCTCGTGCTTCACCGTGTCGAACTGGCTCTTAGGCTACCAATACAGACATATTCTCTTTACTTCATCAGATCACGTGGTTTTCAATGTCACTACCAGCAAATCTGGAAGAGTAACCAAAGTGCCAATTATGCTGGATTATAAAACCTCTGCCAGTGCAGTCTGTGTTGATTTGTCCGATTCCGCTAGCCAAGATTGCATCAAGCCACCTGGTTTTGCTTATGTCGCTACCATCTCGGACTCCCCATTGAGTGACCACATTGTGGGAAATGCACAGTCTAACTTCTTGAGTTGCAGCGGTGGAGAGGATTTTCTTGAGGGCGGGGAAGGTAGTGACAACTATGTTGTAAAGAAATCATGCACGAAAGCCACAATTAACAATTTTGACAGTCGTAAAAAATCGGATTTATTGTACATTGATGCGACCTTTGAAATCCTACAGTCAGAGAAGCATAACTCTGATTTGAGAATAATTTCTAAACGCGGGACACCAGAAATCACTCTTCGCAGTTGGTTTGAATCGAATGAGAGCCAACACCTTGGAGTACGAACTGCGGATGGAGTTACTTTAAGAATTGGAGAAGAGGGACAACTCGAGCCCATTGAGGTGTCTAAGGATCCCAATGAATGTCGGTGCAAAAACGCAGAATGTAACACCGACGTGATCACCTACAATCTCAGTGAAGCTCCTTGGACATCTGTAATCCGTTTTCAGTTGAAATCCAGTCACTGTAGTTACACAATTTATGGAAACAGTCTCAATAATTACCTTGACCCAGGGGCAGGTAATGGCTACAACTATCAACATTTGGAAGGAAGAGGTGGATCTGACACTTATGTTCTTAGCCATGGATATGGAGAGTTTAACGAGATCAACAATTTCGCCGACGACAACACGACAGACATTCTTCAGTTTGGAGTGGAATTTGAAGATATAGGCGTATATTTCCACGCCGAGAATGACGTAATTCTTGCATCAAAGTCACGCTCAAGCTCTCTTAGTGTTCGAATTCTAGATTATTTTCGCAGTTACAAGTATCAACATCTTCAGATTGTCACAGCAAACAAAGTTACCTTTGAAATCATGCAGGAGCACCCGTACAGAAAAGTTATCTCCGTCGATCGCACTCACGTTGACTCGCCACAAAACATTAGTCCTGATACAAATCCCATAATCGCACAAGCCAAAGACTTGAAAGGATCCTTCTACCAACGAGCTTAGTGGCAATGACCACACTCGAGAAATTGATGGAGGATCCCAGGGAGACATTCTTCGTGGAGGAGACAACGGTACAGTGTTAGAGGGCAAGGAAGGGAATGACAAGATTTACGGTGGTGCTGGAAATGACATCATATTTGGCGGAGACGGAAATGATGCAATTAATGGCGGTGCTGGAGATGATTACATTTACGGTGGTAACGGAAAGGACATCATTGACGGCGGGGACGGTAGTGACACATTAATTTTTAGTGGTAACGGCTTTCGACGTGAAGGTGTCCGAGTTGATCTAAATATTGGATTTGGGAAGAAAGTAGATGCGGAAGGGGATAAATATCTGAATGTTGAAAACGTTTTTGGTACAATTCACGACGACGTCATGGTTGGATCCTTTTCAAACAACAAACTTTATGGGCTTGATGGAAAAGATACATTTATTGTTCTTGGTGGTGACGATTTGCTGGTTGGGGGCGAAGAAAAAGATTTGTATATACTCCATCAAGCCTCGGGGATAAAAGTAATCGACAACTATGCAGAAGACGAAGTTGAGGACACTCTGTCATTACTTTATTTCAATTCTGTCGATCTGTGCGCATTCTTAGTTGGCAATGACTTACATTTGCAAGTCGCTATGACAAACGTAGCTTCTGCGTTGTATCATGGTCGACATCTAGCAATAACGATGATCAACTGGAAAGTAAGTGAAAAATACCGGCATATGAAGATTGCATTTAATGACACACTGTGGGAAGGAGTTGCTCTATCAGGGATCATTTCCAAGTTTTACGATTTAGAAAATAGTGTGAATTATGTCACTACTGGTACAAACCTACGTGTTACATCTAAAAGTGACACAAAAATACGTTTAGCATGGAGAAAAATCGACAGTCTTTTGTTGTCTTATCCGAATACTAAACTTTATCTTATAAATTTTAACTGGCGTGAACCACAAAACGTACACACAACACCTGTGAATAGTCAGACTTCAGTCACGGTTTCGTCACTAGAATCTGCTGCCCACTACGTATTTTCTCTTGTGCTGAAGAAGTGTAATACTACAGTTGCTGTATCTTATACATTGACAACGTTTGGACGCGAGAGAAATTGCCCCGCAGCGCTGGTACAATATTCGACCGTGCAATACTCTCCAGGAACTGTTGTATCTACACCTAATCATGGGACTATTGCCACTGTGACATGTAATACTGGATACACCATTGAAGACCGAATGGCCGCAAGAAAAAGCACGTGCATTGATGAGGAATGGATCCCTTCACTTCCGACTTGCAACAGAATACAGCAATGTTCAACTCCCAAAAAACCAACCAACGGAGAGGTTTCTGCAGCAGTACTCGACGAAGGATCGAAAGCGCATTACGTCTGCCATAAAGGATACCGTCTTAGTGGTCCCAAGGAGCGTACGTGTGTACATGAGTTCTGGAGTGGAACTGACCCTGCGTGCCAGCCTTTGAACTGCCCGAGACAATTAAACGTTGACAATGAAGAATTCTATCCGTGTAGCTACATGACGCATGCAAACATGTATGGTACGATAGATAGTCCTCTTGAGGGTTACTGCATTAGACTTCAGTGCTCTAACCCCAATTATAGACCTAGTCACGAATTGCAAGGCAAAATTTATGGTCCGCGATGGGAGAGTGACTGGAATATACCACAAGGAGGAAGAGTGTGTAATGATGGAAAGTGGATTGGCTATGTGGATGACAAGTGTGAACCAACATCGAAACTGTTTCACGTGGAAGATGAGTGGAATATGAAAAAGGGTTTGCTAATTCTTTGGGAAAATGGTGCTTGGAACGTAGCCTCTTCTTCACCAAACAACGAAAGATTGCGCCTCTCGTGCAAGAGCATGGGAATAGATGACCCGCAGCATGTGACTTACACTCTGAACAGAAGATCACAGATAAAAGTTGCTTGTACCAAACTACGTTTAGTAGCTCCTAAACCAACCAGATATGAAGGCAAAATTGAAGTGTTGAATAACAACGGACAATGGGAAGGAGTTTGTGTGACGAAACAGGAACGCAAGCGAGTAATACTGCGAGCAACGAAATTTGTTATGCACTTGGCTTCAACTTCAGAACATCGGTGGTAAGAGTCAGTACCGGCACAGCAGTCCACAAGCTCAGTTGCAACCAGTAAGTAAATGTCAACATGCGTTCTCCATTTTTTAAATACTGGAAACAGTAGATTCGTTTTCAAAGCCCACGAGTCTTTTATGGGCTCCGACCAGAGAGTGTGACTGTTGTGAAAAACCATGGCCGATGTCAGAGACACTTGGGTGCGAGGCAGCTCTTGAGGATGAAAAATCCAAAGATCCTGCCCTCTAGATTTTTTTTAGTATCCAGTCACGTAAATGATATAATTTGAAAGGTTTGGAAGAGTTAAACATAATAAGGCTTCGGGGTAGCTAAACACTTTGCCTAAATAATATAAAGTACTGGTCAAATATTTTAAAACACCCTTTCTTGGCTGTCACAAAAATAGTGATATCTAAGGCAAATTTATATGAAAATTTAACATGTAATAGAGCGAAACATTATCCATTCATTGGTACTTATTGAAATTAGCATTGTAAACAGTACAGTTATCATTGAATGTATGAGATTCACTACTTTTTTCCAAAATTTAATTGTGGCCATATTCATTCGATTATTAATTTTTTTGCATCGCCATTTTATTGCAAAGTGTTTATAGTATTTCATAAATATTGAAAACGTTTGGTGCAATGGATAATTAACTCAACTGAAAACAAAACGATTCAAAACCTCACAAATTTGGTTATAAATTATTGGTATTTGGCTGAAATTAAAAGAACCATATGAATATATTTTGATTCAATTTAGAAACGGTGCATCTCACCGAAATTATTCAATATTCTTGAAAGACAACAAATATTTTGCAATAGAAGCATCATAAAAAAATGATAAATTAAGTCGAATTAATATTCTTCCAATTAAAATTTTAAAAAACTAGTAAATCCCATACATTTGGTGATAACTGTACGTCCAGTTGACAATGCTGATTTCAAAAGTTACCAATGAATAGGTAATGTCTCGCTCTATTACGTGTTAAATTTTCATTTAAATTGGTCTCATTTTGACTTAAATGCGACTATTTTTGTAACAGCCCAGGAAAAGGGTGTTCCAAAACTTTTGACCAGTACTGTATTTCAGGGTATTTTCAGCGAAGGATTACAGCATGGTAAAGGTAACGTCGACTTTAAATTATGCATTAAACAAGACCATTAATAATTGTAATTGAACTGATAGTCCAGCGGAAAAGTAAAAAATGATGCACTTTGTGAAGAAAGCACTCAATTCACAGAAAGTGTAGACTTTAACATGATAATGAATTTTAGATATGGAGGCATCACCAAAATTGATGCTGAAGGTTTAAGATTTAGGATTTCTTATATTCTCTTATTAAACTCTAATACTATTTAAAATTGTGAAATGGCAGGTTCACATATAGCAAAAATGACTTGCATGATTAGAAAACTTACAAAAAACTACATATAAGACTTTTAAACGGCTGATTGATTTTCCAAGCGGTTTTCCAGTTATTGCTGTTTAAAAACGTGATAAATAGGCAAAAAATCCCGCCAAAGTCCTGGACACTAGCCCTAAAACATATTTCCAACCGCTCATAACTCCAGAGGAGTTGGAAAATCAAAGTAACTGCTTAAATGTCTTATATGCAGTTTTTTGTAAGCTTTCTAATGACGCTTGTCATTTTTGCTATATGTGAACCTGCAATTCCACAATTTTTAATAGTATAAGAGATTAATAAGAGAATATAAGAAATCCTAAATTTTAAGCCGTCAGCATCAATTTTGGTGATGCCTCCATATTTAAGATTCATTATCATGTTAAAGTCTATACTTCCTGTGAATTTGGTGCTTTCTTCACAAAGTGCATGATTTTCTCAAAAATCTGTGCATATCCGCTGGACTATGAGTGGAATGCAATTTAGGCTAAAATCAAACGCGTGACTACCAATTCGCACGATGGCATTGCGGGAGTATGATTTGTAACTGCAAATATGATTTCACACCAAAATTGCACGACACGAAGTTCAATTACGGAAATCCTTATAATAAAACTTGAGATTAACGCAACTTTCGATAAAATAATGAAAAGGCAAGCGTGTTTTGCTTATTTTGGTATGTTACAAGTAATATTTAGCTTTCTTAGTTGTGTAGAAATTTAGATTTACATGGGTTATATTCAGTATATTTCAAAACATTTTAACTGCCATTATTCACGGTCCCAGATCTGTTATTTGTGAGAAAATTAAGAGAACGCCACTTGAAGAAATGTAGTCTTACCTTTTGGCAACAACTTTTTGTATACAAAAGGAGCATAGTTGTCCTCTTTAATACATATTCGGATCTGGTCTCTGGAGGCCGCGATTAAGTTATCGATATACCTAGTAATTGTTCTAGGCTCTTGTTCCAGAATAAGCAGGGAGCCAGCTTGCAAGCTAGCCTAAACCACTTTTGACTCTAATCAAATCGCACCTGTCCTAACTGAGCCCACGAGTAGATATGATTAATTAAAGAACACCGGTGGCAAACGTCTTATACATGCGCGAGCAGACAAAAAAGAGCGGAAATTATTCAGTTGCGTTAACTGGCCAAACAGTTTCACAGAATATTACATATTACAAAAACACCAGTGAAATTTCAAAGTAACTAATCTGTGCATAGTTTCATTCTTAACATTGTAACATACACTGAATTATCCCTTAGTAATTTCCATGCCCTTTTTTGCTAAACTCGCCCGATGTTTTGGCTCAGGTTGTTACTGCCATGGCTGTAGACATAACATTAGGATTAGAAACTCACGCATATGTAAGCGTTTGGTGGCGATGTTTCATTAAAGCGCTTATTGTACGAAAAAAAGGGACCACGCCAATTTGCGCTGGTTGTTCGACCAGTACCCTTTTCTTCAAGGAAAACAACCTAAAAAGCGTAAAAGTCCAGTAAACACCAATTATATAACAATCCCTTCAGACTAACTGGAGAAATTGTGGTCCTTACACGCTGGTTTTTACTGTAATATAGACTGTGTAGACTAGAGCCATACGGACAACGATGTCGAACAATGGTGCGTTGCCGCCAGAGGTGTACAAATGATTACCCAATTCCTAATGGCAGGACATCCTGTTCAGGCATGGAAAATTACGATGGTGATACATGCAGAGTGTCATGTGACAGAGACTACAAGCTAAATGGACCATCCACAGTCACCTGCACCAGAGGAACTTGGACTGACCCGAATACAGGACTGGTCGCAACAGCTAACTGTGAAAGTGTTGGTAAGTAAAAGGTTTTATTCGTGTAAGCATCAAAAGCTTTCTGGATGAAAGTTAATTGTAGATAAGCGCACTATAAATCAGTAAAAATGTTGGTGAGTTATAGAAGTACTTCATGTAGATGTTTCTCATCCAGTGCTCTGATGGGGACAGTTGGAATTACTGGCATAGGCGCATCGGGCTGATTACTCGTGTCGTACGTAGGGTCTTACCTTCGCTCAGGCCGAGTCCAGTCAGACGAATTCTCGCAAGAATATCGTAGCGCACACCCGGCTTGAGTCGAAGCTTTATCTTTCGATCTTTATTTTTGGGGGGAATACCCATGAACAAATGCGAACCATACGCAGTATTTTAAAAAGTTTTATGAAGAATGCATAAGGTTTTTTTGTTGTATTTTTAAATATAAAATGTCCAGCATGACGTTAATTGTAGTAAACGTATAATCACTTCTGATGAAAAATAGCAGGCTTTGTGTTGGTGCATTGCGTTTAGATAAAACGTTTTAATGAACATCTGTACGACATTTACATTGACAGTTTTTTTTTATTTAAACAATAGATAATCTTTACATTTGTTCCAAAAGCAGCTAGAGCTTATCGAGAGAACTTATGGAATATATAATATACAAGATTTTGTTAAAAAAGAATTAGGTGGCAGTTTTTATGACATCGAGTCTCCCTTGTGGATTTATTCACCTCAGACTACACACCCTTGGGTATTAAATTACATACCCATCGTGGACTAGAAATAACCAACACATAATCTTGTATTTTCCGTTTCCTTTTTAGATGCTCTTTTTAAGGATGATGTTCTTAGACTTGTTGACCGAGAACGGAAGAGAAGCCATCTAGAGTTGGCCTGTTTTGTTAGAGATTATTTAAAAAATAAGTATCCCGGAAATTGTTGGTTTGTCACCATCTACGACGATATTTATTCGTTTGAAAACCATTGCGTTGGTGGTTACTACTTTCACAAGTTCAGATACGCTGGTGTAAATTTTGTTGTGACTCGCTACCCCGATTACCGCGCCCGCAGACCCAGAGTACCCCTGTCCACCATCATAGGCTCAGTTAGCGGAAGCCACGCCAAAGAAGTTTATGAGAGTATAAAGGAGAAGTTTTTTCATCATGGTGAATCATATTACATGATACATGTGGTTAAAAGGAGCGCACGTCTCAGATTTGCCAAGAATTGTTATGATGAGAATGTTTTTTATAAGTTGTTCTCAAAGGTGGCTTTAGTTGTTGTTGCTCCTTAAAACAACCTGAGTTTGGTAAAGAACGCGTTGTTTAGCAACAATTATGTGACGCTAACACTAATGAGGCTTATTAGGGGTTAATATAGGGATACGGGATACTAGAAGATAATGTATCTAAATATTATTATATAACATTTTAAAATATTAATGTCCTTATTGATTAATTCGTTATTATAGTCGTACCTCATGGGCTTAAAATAGGACGTTGAAAGCAGAAATACTTGTCGAATAAAGTGTGCTAATTCGACATAATTAAAAATATTATGGGATTCTTGCTGTTATGTGTAGAAATTTCAAATTTGAATGTGGAAGCACTGGGTGAACAGTAATCATCCGAGAGGTGCAGATTTGTCTTCCACTATACCACTGCCATTAAGTGACTATATTAACTATACCAATCATATGCTTTTGATATATCCGATTAACCAATCAGATGTGTTTGATATATCCGATTAACCAATCAGATGTGAACTTAGCCAGTGAGAGGTAGTGGTAGTGGAAGTCAATAGTAACAGGGGGGCTTTTGTTGTCGCTAGGCGAGATGTTCGCGGCCGCGAGGGTTTCCCCTCGCAAATTTGGTTTTCAAAGTTCAACATGTATTTGCGAAGGACGTTAAAAATTTTGGCATTGTCATTTACTGCTTTTTGAAAGTATAGCTATATTGAAGGATTGTCAAGAAGACCTCTTTTTCATGCGACCGAAATGACAGGCGATATTTATATTCGGATGTGTTGGACTAAGCCTTGGAAAAGCATCACATGCATGCACAATCTGAATTTGTACGCTGAAACGGCCCATGGAAGAACCGTAAAAGTCCGTAAAATCATGG